TTTTTTTTTTTTTTTTTTTTTTTTTTTTTTTTTTTTTTTTTTTTTTTTTTTTTTTTTACATTAGAATTTGTATCTTGATGATAACAATGAAAAATTAAATTTTTGATATCATTAATGATGAAGAAAAAGATCTCTAAAATGCAAAATTAATTTTTTAAAGCTTTTTCTGAGAAAAAAAGTTGAATAAAGTTTATTGAAAATAGTTTTGAACCCTGACCAGAAGTTCTGTGAACTGATAGCAATCGTATGAAAGACAAATTTCTTTTTTAATACATACTTTTGACAGGCATTCATTCTTGTTTTTGGGTATCGGAAAAGTATTGTTCTAAGGAATAGTTTTATTCATTGACTGCATATCGTAGGTTTTGCAATATTCGAGAACGGGAGTAAATGCCTATCAAGTGTACCAAGCTGTTCTTACCATCGCTAATTAACGCGAAATTTTTATTACTTTAGACTTTGAAATCGTCCAACGTTGTTTTTTGTTAAGATCATGCGTATTTGAGGCTGTAAATGTATGATTTTCGCTTTCAAACTTGAAGAATTTCGTTTTCTCAAAATTACGATCTCAAAAAATTGTTGTAAATTAATGACCTTCGAAGAAAAATCGCTATTTTTGTATAGTTTTTAGGAGCTTGCATGAATTATACGTGAGCAATGAGCTATATGTATCACGATATTGTATCATACTTGAGAGCATTGAGTCTGATGAAAAGAGCAAAACAAAGAAATTTAGGATTGGATGGGTCTATATTGTGATGATTATCGATTGTAAGAAACCATTTTTAATTTTTTTTCTTTTTTTTTTAGATTGAATGGCTGAAGCGGAAACAATTGTTTTTGTGTTTTCGTATCTCAATTAGCGCAAATGGGAAATATATCACTCGTATAAATGATTAACTGTATGGCGCGAATGGTGATGATTAATAATGCAGCTCTGCGAAACGTGTACATGTGTAAAACCGTCGGTTGTCAACTCGACGTCGGAGCTAGCTCGTTGATTCACCCGAATTATACCATTAGGGGTGGTAATCCGTAACTTTTTTTCACCGTGTGTGCCTATGTTATAGCATAGGCTGATGTACAGCAAAGTAGTTACGGAATACCACTCGAAACGGAATACAGACACAATATTTGTATATTCTAAAGGATATCATTACATCGGGAGGTATATCTTTCGAGTATGTTTATTAGCTTAAAATTTAGTTGCCGCGCGCTTGTCAAATTTTTTATTGTTTTTTTTTTTGATCAAAAACACAGGTACTGCACGGTAATTTNTTCATGAAATTGAGTCGGAAAAAATATTCGTAAGTAATCGAACTTGAATAACACATTTGGTAGAAATTTTTTTTACGCTAAGCGATTCGATATATTTCAGAAATCAAGCAATAGTGTGTTAAGTACGACCCAAAGCCGGAAAGTTATAAAAAGTCTGAGATTTTCCGAAGCGAAACTGAGAATGACAAATAGATGATTTGAGGCTTTATTTCCGGACATGGGTTGCATACGATTTTTCATGTTCCCGCGGCTGGGAAGTCAAAGTTTCTGTCCGCTGCGCAGACGGAATCTTTGTCTTTCCTGCCACTGGGACCAAAAAAATCTTTGTTACATTTGGAAAAATCTTGCATTTAAATAGAAAAAAAAAATCGCCGAAAAATTCGCGAGTGATGTAATCCTACAAATGTGACAGGTAGCAACTACCCTATGTATATCTTTCATGTTTTTATTTAAATGTATTCAAACCAATTGAAATTAATGCAACTTGTGTAGCTAAGGATCTGTAATAGTATCGGAAAAGGTAAGAGGAGAAAATGAAAAAAAATGAAAAAAATAGTAAAATTGACACATAATGTACGAGCTGTTGAGTTTAAATGAGCGATGTGGAAATTGCGTACTATAAAACCTGTATCGAAAGGGCAATGATGAATTTTTTAAAAGAAAATTCTGTAAATGTCTGGTCTTGCCATTAGTCCAGTAATAGTTGAACCGTTAAACGCAATAAAAGGCTTGTTTATTTTGTGCAATACAATGTAGGGTATGTGCGATAATGCGAAAAAAAAGAACTGACGCGCGAAATGGTGAGAATTGAGATGTTTTTGCTTGCCAATCTGGCAATTTTTGATTTATTTTAATGTAAGTTTAACTCTGTGACGAGCTTCGTATCAAATACCTGCTAATTATTTTTCAATTTAAGCTTAACTTATGATAGTAAATACGTAGAGAAGGAGCAAACAAAATACTTCTGTGTAAATTTCGAAAAATAATTCTAACGCGTTAACTGTTATTGGGCTCAGATCATTTACAGGCTGTATTTTATTTGTATACTGCTCATTATAAAGATGTGTTGACTGTTGTATCATTTTTTATAAGAAATAGAAAATGTTGCTGCATATAATAAAACTTATTTATTCATTCACCTTATCAGTTTTACTGAAAATTCCATTACTACAAATATTATAACATTATTATTACTATATATTTTTATATTCGGATCAACATATTAAAGAGTCCAGAAATAAGAAGTGTTACAAGGATGTAAGCAAGTGATACAAATCTAATTTGTACATTTTTTGAACGTATTCCTCTAATAATAAATTCAATTGCAGCAAGTGGGATCAAACTGTAAATAACAGGAAGGACCACATAAATTATGGTACTAACAACTATCTAAACCTGGAAACGTTAATACTTAATTTGGATACATGTAAGTCAGATAATTAAATGAATAATCCTATTATTGGTTGCAAATTTATATATTTTATCAAATTTGTTTTTTGAATTAAGTAAATTCCAATATATCGTACCTCAAAAAAATGTATTTCACGTTACGTTTCAATAGCTATAACAAATGTACAATCTTGACAAGGTACATGCACTATACAGTTTATTTCTTCTAATTCAGTTTTGTGCACTAAATAACTATTTCCACATCGGCATGGATATGATAAAATATCTTGCTCCTCAGTTTCTTCTAATTCAAGGGGTGTAAGTCTGGCATGAACAAGCGCAGTTTCAGCCTCTAAACAAGCCTCTCTGTATTTGAGATCGTATTTTTTTCTTAATTCTGGATCTTTTAACGTCTCCCAAGCTGTCTTAACTTCACGAAACGTGCCAACTGTTTCCTTGGCATTTGAACTTTTGTCTGGGTGAGATTCCAAAACTTTGCGTCGATAAGCTTCTTTGAGTTCTTCAAATGATGATTCTGAAGTACAGCCCAGAACTTGATAGTGATCCTGATCAATTATGTTGCTATTTCCTGAAATGACAAAATGTACCAAATATTTTGATAGTTAAAAACTTGTCAGCAGTATAAATAACAAAATAACAAATGATATAAATCCTCACTTGACATTTTATATGATGTTACAACGCATGCCAAATCATAACTGCAGTCATAAATAAATTATAAAATTTTTAAACCCATACAATAAGTGTGTGTAACCTCTACACACTGAAGAATAAACTTGACATTTATCGTTTTACAGAAGTTGATAACACCTTTTTAAAGTGCACCGTTTGTACTTTTGAAAAATATTATCAATAACGCGTTCGTAAATCTAAAAATTTTCAAACAAGAAAATAAGAAGTGTAAATATGCAATTTAACAACGCACGTGTCTATTTTTCTCAAAATCAAAACAAAGACGTAGCAGAAGACAGCTGTCGAAACGTCACACCTATACATCCCTAGATAACCAGGTTAAACAAATCTCACGCACATTTCCTAGATTTTCCTCTTCCATCTAGGTTTTTTTTTTCGACTTGTGGTTAGCCTGGTTTGATACACTTACCGCACTTATTTAAACATTTGTCAGTGATGATCTTACTAACGACGTTAAAAAATAGCCGAACGTTTATTTTTTCTATTCTCGTGGAATCACAATAACTGAAGAGATAAAAAGTAATTTAAAGCCGTCCGGACGTTCAATTGCTATGAATACACTCAACCTCATCATATATTTTTCTCTCCTAACGTCCTCCAAAACTCAAATTTTATTTGTTGATTCTAAAGGACCCTACAACCTATATAGGTTATAAGACTGAACCCGGATGTGTATTACATACATTCAAAATTCGTGACACCAATAATAAATATATATTGCATTCAATAGTGTTACTATAGCGATCCAAGAGAGCCTATATAAGGTCTATATTATCTATATATTCATGTCCAAGATCTTAAATATAGACACACACCTGAATGATTCTAGGATCACTCAGAAAAATGTTATAACAATTACCGAGGACTATTATACACATCCAAACATTGGGGGGCTGCGTCAAAAAATTTTACGAGCTGCGTATCTCTTCTTTTCTACATACGTTATAAATTATTTAATTTTAATTTCTTGGCAGCTCCGTTGGCTTGGCTTTGCGTGAGTACACACACATCGAATTGATCGGCTTTTTATTTATCATTAACAATATGGATAAAGGTCAAACAGTATATTATGTGCACACACAGACGTACGCTTAGTATGTACATGAAATCGCTTTGGCTGCTTTGCGTATAATTACTGTTTCTATTCAATTTTTTAGATGTTTACGGCTTTCGTCAAAGTACCTCAATAGGTGTATACGTATACTTACACGCAATGTATAACAAAACATAAAATTATCGCCCTAATGGAACGAGCCATGTATATATATATCGATCCATCCTCGTTTGTAACTTTGAAGAAGGTAAGTAAAATGCTTTCCTCGTTTTTACTTTGAAGTAGGTATCTATAACGTACAACGTATATAGTTAATATAAATAATTTTCAGAAAAATTAGGGGACTATGGCTAATATATGAAAAAGGTAACAAAATCCTTTCGCGTTTCAACTTAAAAGTGATTTTACATCCAAACTTTTTTTTTAAGTATACTTTCTTTTTGTAACAATGTTATACAATTACAAAAAAAAAAAAGTTTATCACAAACTGTTCAATGTATTTCCCATTTCGGGAAGTAACTCCTCACCATAACGTTTTTTTATCGACTCGCTTGAACAACACACAAGAATATTTTATATGCGCAAGTAAAACATACACATATATTATAGGTAAGTTGCTCATTGTCGCAAATTCGTGTAGTTTCAACTTCACGTGTACTTATATATGTACATGTGCTTATATATACATAGGTATGCACTATATGTCACATATATATTGTAATACTTGTACACGACGACGAGGTCATGCAGTACTGCACGCGACAGTTACGTTGTACACCTGTATGAAAAAATTGTTTTATGCATTATTAATTTTTGCGCGATTGCCATCGTGAACTGTGTATTTGAGTTGTACTGTGACCCACAAATACACACGTTTAAATAATATACATTGAATCATTAGTTTGACAATTAACTATATATACCTATCTGTTAACACACTACTCCCATACTACATAATAATATAATTCGTTCTTTTTTAAGTTTTATAAAAATCGAATACAAAAAAGTCAAATATGCTAAGGCTCTTATGCGTAACAGCTGGATTTGAATGAAATTTTGTAAAAAAAAAATTTCGATCGATGAAACACTTAAAAATACACAAGTTAAAATGATTATCAATAATAAAATTATAAAATTATTTTACTTGTGATAAACGATGATATATTATACCATCGAATACCTAGATATTTTCTTCCCTGAGCTTGTTGTAAATAATTTCACAATTGTAAATAATACCTTTGGCTATCAAAATAATTATGATTTTTTAGTAGAACTATGTTACCGAACTCAATATTGCAAAAACACAAGAAGCAACAATATACCATCTACTTGCTGGTTTTACTAAAACGTTCAGAAAAAGAAACGCGCGTCCATATGATTACACACCAGATCTATGATTACACGTCTTACCTCAAAACGTGAATAAACGTTGGTGTTGACACACCAGGGCATATTACAGACTTTAAAACGTAATTGCTACAAAACTTTTTTTTTTTTTTTTTTTTATGACATGTTTTGGTACCGACCACTGGCATCGACAAATATCACTATACGTGCCCGAGAGTGGATGTATTTACTTATTTTCTTTATTAAATGCACGAAAAAAAGTGTTTCATCAGCTGGTTAAAAAAATGAGTTATCTCGTTTATAAAAAAAAAAAATTAAAAAAAAAAAAAAAATGAAATATAATAACACATAATCGTGAATATTTAAAAAAAATTTATCTGGGGTACTTGAAATAATATTGATGTATGTTTTTGAAATTAGAAATGGAATGATCTGACGATGAATAAAATAGAAATTACATAAGTACTAAGCCAGTGGTCTCTGCTTAAGATTACAACATTAAATTTACTAGTGACTGTACAGTGAATGCAGTACACAAAAAACACAATACTAAAGAAAAATGACAATGATAATAATAATACCTACAAAGCCCGACTGACCAAATTTCCGATGTATCAGCGAAAAATTCATTGAAGACCAATCAAAGAAAGAAAAGTTAAAAAAAAAGATTGTACAAAAAACAAAGGTGTGCAAAAATTTCAAAAAATTTCGGCAAAGCTATATTGTTGCATATATACGTATGCATATAAACATTTACGTAGGTATACCTATAGACATGGTTACGTCAGATATCGAATTGCGTGTGTGCATGTACACGTGGAAATTTTTTCCACGAATATACTGATGTTGCTCGTAACGATAAAAATGAGCCAATCACGTGCGCGAAAGCAAAATCGTTCTATTTCTCGGTACCTATACACTCAATGCATTTGAACCGACACTCCCCCGCTATATCTTTTTGTTTTTACGTAATGAAAAATATAATATACTTAATAAACTCTCTAGCGCTTTTATACTATACAGGGGCACTTTTTTTGTTGTATACATAGATTCATGTGGGCTTCTTTGTCCTTTGATTTAATATAACGAGAGGTCGATGTGATCAAGTTATGATGGGTACTTATTGTGATTTCATTTAAACACCAACTTTTGTACAGAACATATAATTTTTTTTTTTTTATAATAGATGAACAGGTACCATATAATATGCTCTCATACGGTTACTGTACGAAACTTTTACTTTTGATGGCCACAAACAGATAGTAGTCCTTCATTTTATTTTCGAGGCTCATCTACTTAATTTGAACTCTGAGGCGTGTATCGTTATTTACGTGTATAAACAAAACAAAGTAAAAATACGTTGCACAATGACTGTGGAGGAAAAAAGAAAAAGAAAAAACAGTATCAAACGTGATAAGTTGTATCAATTTACAACTAAATAATGCCGTAATATTTATACCCTACTTTCTTCTTGTTTTTCTTCTTAGGTCAAAGAAATGAAAAAAAATAAGTATAAGGTTGTTGCATTAAGCAAAAAATAGAAATTTATAATGTACGCAAAGAAAACATTGAATTAAAAAAAAAAAAAAAAAAAAANAAAAAAAAAAAAAAAAAAAAAAAAAAAAAAAAAAAAAAAAAAAAAAAAAATAGCAACAATGAATTCTCGTCGAAACTTTATGATGCCACGAAATATCGCATGCAACATTCATTCATTTAGGCGCTAAAAAGAGCAATAATGGAGCTTAAAGGTACGTCCACAAGGACCATGGCTCAATTCAATGTAAAATCCGAATAAATTTCTGTATAATGTGTCCTTCCTGCTACGTTGTACAACACCCATTTTCGTATAATTAATACACGGGTAACGCAACTTTTTTGCATACATCTGCGGTTGATCATCGCGTAAATGACGTGAGAGTTTTAACGAAAAATAAATTGAGGAGAGAATATAATTGTACAGTGCAAAAAAGTCAAGGAAAAATTTTACTCATACCATATACGCAAACCTATACGACTTACAACTTATATACTACATACAGAGAGTGATATTATGTAAATCGATTTATTGACTCATCCACATGATTCTGCGAGCAAAATCTCATAAATATATTATAGTGTCGTTCCCATTGGTCGGTGCGGTGTGCGGTCGGTCAGTTGTGTTGTGTGTCAGTACGCGCCACCCGCCAGACTTATCGCTATATCACAACACAACAGAGTCATCAGTCGTTGTTTTGCGCGCATTGCCATCGCATCCACCAAGTACCTCCTACATCTTTCTACCGCAGTTTTTTTTTTTCCTCTACAGTATAATAAATTTAATACAGATACATATACAGTGTACCTGTTATTTTTTAATCTGTGTAGTGTACGTTATACAAGTAATATTTATATATAAATACTGTTATTAATATCTAAAAAACCATTAAAAAAAGGTAGAAAAGTGGGGATTCATACGTGACACCAGCCCTGCATCTCTGCTGCAAGTCTGCAGTATTTACATCCGCAGTAGACCTCAAAAAGAGAATATTCCATACAAACATGCTGCTGTGAGATATCATAATGACAAATAATGCTGTAAGCACATTAATGAAATCGGGTTGGGAAAAGACGGTGAATCAGAATCTCGAAAAATAACTCGATATACCGCTTTGTCGACTACAATAATTATTAAAATAGCATTTCATATTCAGCCTTCACACCGACACATCACACTACCACGTATTCACTGCAGTGAAAATACGCCGCCGTCTGTAAAAAAAAAGATATCTGCTGGACATACATAAGTATACCTATATATATCCTTGCATGCTGGAAAATATCTCTGTCTTTTTCTCGATATGTAAGAATCTCATATCTATCTCTTTTCCTCTCACATCACACACATAAGAGTATAATCTGTAGCAGCAACAGCATGCCAGTGAAGCGGTATATATATAGGAGTGAAGTCAAGAACCGTTTTGGGTTTTGGCACTGGCAGAGTACTGGCACACCATTTTACATTACATATTATGTATATAAACTTATTAGGTTTGTTCAAGCCAATTCTCGGTGAGACTCTGGGTGCCTCCGAGAATGGAATGAACAAGTGTTCTTCTCCGAGTGTTCCGAGACTTCCGAGTGACTCTGACTGTCCCCGAGAATGTATATACACACGTTAGGTTAGACAAGCACAAAAAGTAAACAGAATGTCTTAGTGTTAACAAAAGTAAACAAATCGTGATTTTTAGCGACGGTGTTATGGAAAAAAGCGCGACTTGTTTTGGCATTTCGGACCTCAGCTCCAGTAGTCACTTTACCTTATGTGACGATCTGTGACAGCAGCGTTGCCATTTACACGGTGAATCTGACTTTCGGAACGCACCCAGAGTCTCTCGGAGACACTCGGAGAAGAACACTTGTTCATTCCATTCTCGGAGAGTCTCTCCGAGTCTCACCGAGAATTGGCTTGAACAAACCTATTAAGTAGTTGGAAAGAGATAAAACACAACTCATCTTATACATTGTTCGTCCTCCCACGAAAACAGCCGGAAGTGGCGATTTACGAAGCAGAAATCATCATAATAATCGATCGTTTTCTGCTGTTATTATTACACTCGTGTATTTGTGAATTTGTTTAATCAAATTTGTGTGTACATTTAAACGGTGTACTAGATTAGATTATTCATCGACTGAATGGATCAATGAAATTTTGGAGCCATACCCCATCAGCTTGCGGTGATTGATGTGCTGATGTAATTTTGTATCATCTCTAATAAGTAGCATATAGGCAGCTCTGCATAGTGTGCTAAATAATTGCTAAAAGTAAAGTGCCGCAGAGGGAACGCACATCACAGGCTCTCTCTTTTTTTTTTTTTTTTTATCTGCCATCTCTCATGCTGTTGCTTTTTTTTAACATTATGTAATTATCATTGTTTTTATTTAACGAGACCATTATCAGTTGAATCAAACCGTTAAGTTGTACAATTATTGTGTAATATACAGTGTTTGTGTGCTCGCGTAGATTTGGAAAACAACGTCATATGGAGGATCAGTGAGCAACCCCTTATTTATTTCTGTTGAAAAAGTTAACGTGCAAAAGAAGAGAACACCTAAAGTAAACAATAAAAGGAGCAACCGGTGTATTGCACATATATATACGACAGAGCGGGCCTATACATAGTCCTGACACTGATAGATAATTGTATTTCTCAAGCTCGGTATCTTCTTCCCCCCCTGTAGATGCTCCAATTATCATCAGCAGCAGACAGAGTCGTAGTGACGGCCGATGAGCGAAAGTGAGGTTAGTAACGACGACGGTGGTGGTGGTGGCGACGGCTGCGGCGGCAGCTGTGGCTGCAGCGGTGGTGGTTTCATCAGAAAAAGACGACGACGAAGAAACACCAGTCGTAATAGTGTCTCTCTAAATCTAAAAGTTAACAGTTGTCACTTTTGTTGTTGCTGTTTCTGCAACAACTACTACCAGCCGCCGGTGTTTTTGTTTACCAAAGCATTATTATGACCGGGCACGAGGAAGTGACGACGGTGTCTGCCTCGGCGATCGAGACATCTACGGCTGCGGGCGTGCGATCGTCGCCCGGTATCGTCAGGTAAGCAACGTAAACATATACAATACATAATTGTTACAGGTATACTTATTATACTTACCATCACCACTATTTTACGTTGAGACCTCCTTTACTTGCGCATGGCTCTTTTTTTTCGGCGATTGTGTTGCTTATTTTTTTTTCAAAGTATTTATTTATTTTATTTTTTGTTTTTTACATCTGTGTGCAACCGCGTTACCCCTTGCGTGTACTATCGCGATTACATGTTCATTATTTTTTCAGTGGGGGTAATTTTCATTTGTACAGGTACTAGATATTCCTACCCTGCCACTTATTTTTATTTTTTTCTTCTTACATTTTACGTACTCGTTATACTTACACAGAAACCACTAACTGGCAGTTTGTATTTAATATGTTATAACTTGTTGCAAAGAGCATGTCCGTTACAAATCGTTAATGACACCAGCTGATACCCAGTACGTGGTGATAACATAGCCGTCATGAATCACAAATACTTGTACAAGTTAATGACTTTTACATGGCCTCTATGAGGCATGCTATTTAGTGATTTACTGTAGCCTTACAAATTAGGAACTGAATATTCGATTACTTTCTTTTTTTTTTAAATAAAGGATGAGCTGTATCGATTTGCGTCACAGCAATACTCTGTTACAAGAATTTTTTTTACAATCTTGAAGCTAATTTTGAAAGCATTTCATGTAGTAGAGGGTGTACCAAAATATATTTGAAATAAGTAATTAGCAACATTCGAATATTAATGCATAATTTTAATAAAAAATTCAATTAGAAAAATAAAAATTTTTTGCTATTATTTGCAAATCATTGAATTTTTTTCCATGGTTATTTTGTATTGACTAAACTAAGTATTACCGGTAATAACTCGCATTAATTTTCGTTGTTAATTCACATACGTATAACAAGCCTGTATACTTAGCACATAATCATTAACTCGATGTTCTTCATTATTATAACTTTTTTACCATGAGTAAGGTTTTGTTAAAGAAATTTGGGCCACTACTGTAATGTGTAATTTATATGCTCATCGTTCACCATGTTGTTAGTATAAACTTATATATAAAACACACTAACAAAAGTATTGTCTTTGAATACAAATTCATATATTTCAACACAGACAACAAAGTGCCCCAAGTTTTCTTCACAAATATTCCTGACAGACTTATATAACTTAAGTGAATTCAATTATCTTTAGCTTCGATGACAAAAAAAATCTAATCTCAGTGTTATGAAATTATTGGAGAAAATATTACATTACGAAAGCATGACTACTTTTCTGGGAAAAAAAAAATATATTTTTGGTTATCTTTTTTCTATTGTATTCTATAAATACAAATTTTAATCATTTAAACATTTTAGTTTTTTGATGACTTAAAATACTTAATTAAATTTTTTGTTGAATAAGACGATTGAAAAATAACTGAGTTACTGGAAGTATTATCTGGAATTACTGATTAGTCTGCACATGTTTTTTAAATCTTATATTGACGAGAGGGTCATTTACTTCATCAGTCAAGCATGAGGCTGAGATAAGTGGGAGTTACAAGTAAAATTCAACTTAAATCATCTTTAAAGAGTTGCCTTGATTCTTAATGCTATAATTGCATAAGTGGACAGTGAAAAAGCCTTTTTGATTTGCCAATTTTTATCAAGTGTTGGATAAAATTGTATATATTATTGTTATTTCGACTCTAATTTATGAACAATTTATCAAATTAAGTTTATTTTATTTTATTATTGTTGTACTGATTTGTGAACAAAACGTAATTATTAAAAATTTGTTTGGAATTGATAAATTAATTTAATCACATAATATACAATAATTAAAAAACAAAAAATAATAAATATGATTTTAGATTCTGGGGTGACGAAAAAATATATATTGAACGCGTCTGCATATTACATCAATAAATGACCTCATTTCATTACATCCATATTTCTTTTTGAATAACTCTTAGCAGGGCCGTGGTAGTAAATAAGTTTTACTTTTATCTTTCTAGATTAGCTGCAAGGCTAGGAAACTATCTAAAATGTATTCTGCGAATCATTTTCGTCCTTTTAAACAATACATACTGCATACCTACATACCTTGTTTGGATGATCGTACTGTTCCCGATGAAAATTTATCAGCCTAGTTGGTATTGGCGCATCGAGGGTATGTTCTTTCATTGGTTGTTAGCTATGGTGTCAATGTGGACATGGTCCGCTGGATATGATGGTAAGTTACAACTCATTCAATAAGTACAGAAACGATTACAAAAAACTCTTATGTTATATTGTAGTTGTAGAGTTAGGGGACGACATTAGCAAAATTATACATGAAAGAACTTTGGTGATTGCAAATCACCAAAGTACAGGGGATGTTCCTATATTAATGACAACTTTTAATGCCAAGCCCACTGTTTTGCCTAATCTCATGTGGATCATGGATAGCATATTTAAATTTACCAACTTCGGACTTGTTTCTTTATTACATCATGACTTTTTCATTTTATCAGTAAGTACACCAACTAATTTTTTAAAGGGTACATCAAATATTTTTTATGATTTTTCTTACATTTTAATAGGGTCGTAAAAAAAGAGAAGAAAGCCTGAGGAAACTAGATAGGCATCTCAAAGATTCATATATCCCACTGGAAAGGAAATGGTTGGTTCTTTTTCCAGAAGGTGGTTTCCTGTGCAAAAGGCGTGAAACCTCGCAAAAGTATGCTAAGAAGAATAATCTTCCTATCTTAGAAAATGTTACCCTACCTCGGGTTGGAGCTCTGCAAACTATATTTAACACTATTGGCCCCACACAGAACAACAATTCCTCGGAAGAACAATTGAATTCAAGGCCAAGTAATATGAACACTTTATTTATTTCATTTACAACGTAGCTTTTATATTCGTTTGTAGCAACGCAATAAAAACATGTGATTTTTCAGGTACAGCAGTGATGCGGCCAGAAATCAGATATATTTTAGATATTACAATTGCTTACCCTCAAGGAAAACCAATAGATTTGCCGACGATCATAACTGGCGTAAGACCCCCGTGTCAAACAATACTTTTTTACCGAATTTTTCCAACATCAATGGTAATTTAAAAGATGGTTTAATATTTAAAAAAAAAAGTTTTAACCATTCATTTTTTACATATAATCTTTTAGATTCCTAAAGAACCTGAGCAACTATCAAGATGGTTGTTTGACAGATGGGCCGAAAAGGAAGTCTTTTTAGAAAACTTTTATAAATATGGATCTTTTAATGGCATTAATCCATCAAATTATGAAAATTACAAGATTCAGCAAGATCCATTGCGTTTTCTAATTCTTCATCTGTTCTTTATAACATCTAGCTATCTCCACTACAAAGTCATCACTTATGTTTTAGCTTGTATTTGGTAATATGTCAACAAAACAATAAATTTCTATTTGATGCAGCTATCTACTGCTACTCTGTTTCAAAGTGCAGTAGTAATGTTTTTGTGATTATTTTTGAAGTGACTTTGAATATTGAGGGTGTTGAAAACTTTTTTTCACTGACATCAAAATTATATTGTAATATCATAAACTTGCAATTAATTTTTGATTAAGCCATATTTAGAAATGAAAAAAAAAGAAGAGACATTGGTCGTTAAAATCTTACAACTTGTATAAGTGTTGGACACTTTACAGGATTTTCCGTGTAAAGCTTATGCATTGGATTAAATAGCTAGTTACTAAATACATAAATCGCACATTAAGTATACGTGATATCATTTTTTTAAATGTTAATAAGTATAGGATGTATGTATATTGGAGTGAAAATCAATTTTTTAATTTGTAAGTAATTTTTTATGTGTGAAATTTTAAGTTCCTACGTTTCAGAGGGACGCGTCAACCTCTTCTTTTGTACTGTATGAATGTGTTCTTAGCACAGTATTGGGAATCAAAAATCTAGAAAACTCGATTTACTATTCTAAGAAGAAAAATGTAAAGTGAGCGAATTAACGTACAATTAAGCAGTGTTTGATACATTTTTGTACAAGCCAATTTTTAAGTGCAACATCAATATTATATTTGTGTCTTAAATCGTCGGAGTTAGTAAAAGAAAGAGCTTTTTCAAATTATATAGTAAGAGGGATCCTTTTCAAAATAAGTGGCAAGAAAGTGTCCCTGAAAATTTTGTATCAAGAAACAGCTTCTTTAGAATCAGATGAGTTTTAACAAAACATGACAAGATTTTGTTGGATTTTATTCAAAGGCAATAAAAATAAAAAAAATTAACATACGATGTTGCAACAGTTATAACTTAAAACAATAAAGAAAAACATTTATTATAATGCAGTAATAGAATTTATTTGTTCAAGGCTTGTTTTTCAAATAATTTAATTCTTAATCCAAATCAGATAAGTTTAAATAAAAATCTACTTTATATTTACGATGTTGTAGTTATGACTACGTTATATTTTACTTTAAATATTTTCAGAACTGTTATCATTTTAAATCAGATATTTCATTTTTTAAAAAGCTTTTCTTCAATATTTTTATGGCTCTCTTTCTCCTCTCTTACTATGTACACTAAAAAGATTCTTGCACTGGTCCGACAAAATGAAATTTTGCAACCGAGATTCTTTGTAACAGTTATTATGTAGTAGGAAATACAACTACGCAAGTTTATTTCGTAATTTTGTATAAGAGTATTTAAATTAATTACTCGTCTGAATATCAATTCGAATTAAATATCGTATTATTTTCAGTCGACAGGTAATAATAATTTGTTGACTGAATTTAAATATTTTTTGTGATTTCTCAGAACCAAAATTTAGTGTCACTGTACATAATGTTTTTGAATACATTTGTGGACACATGATAGTTAATGAACAAAAAGTGTAAAACTAAGACCGTAAGTGCGAAACAAATTTTTTTTTCTTTTATCGACCGATTGCCAAAACCAACCGGTTGTAAGTTTGTTGTGAACGAATAACATTTCAAATCGATCGTGCCTTGCTCTTGCTAGCATATATATTATATTATTATGTACATAGAAGTTTTGTAAGCTCAAAGAGCGAATCCCTTACATCAAGTATTTAGAAAATGAACAATATGATAAAATATTGTGTTTTGATAATGAAATTAACGGATATTGAATCTTTTTATTTTCCATACAAGTAAGACGTTGTCGATTAAGAAGACGTTTTAAGAAATGTTGTAGAAATTAAGCTAAAAAAATCAATTAAAAACTTTCATATGGTTATTATGAGTAGCCTAATTAATTAATTAAATAATGCTGATAACTGTGTATATATAAATAGATCTTTCGTACATTTATTAAATAAACTTTGATAATGTAATACGTGAATTGAGAAACGCTTTCGAGAATAACGGTGATAAAAAATTAATTAAAAAGTCATTTAAAAAAGTAAACTTTGTGTATATATTTGCATTTGGTTGTTTTTTTTAGTTTTACCGTTTTTTCCTTTGTACATTGACTTGTTTTTCAGCTAAGGATAAGAACTCGGTGTATTATACAGAGCTGGAGTGCAGGGAATTTCGCACAGTTTTTTCTGCGATGTATTACTGAAATCGTCGATAACTGTAACCTGACTTTTGGGTTTAATAGCTGATTATACACTTGTATATTTTTAAAACTCGCATGTAAATTTGATGCTAAATATATGTAAATTATATAAATCTTCATACGTCCGTAAATTAATTGTCAATAATTTTATGCTTTTCTAAAAAGTGTAAGCTAACACGTTGATGATAATATACTATGATTTATACGCGATTAATAGATGCGTAGTTCAGCCACATATCAACGGTACATAATTTACGTCAACTGTTTTTAACTTTATTGATTGAAAAAAAGAAAAAAAAAAAATCAATTGAATTGATACAAAATGTGAGTATGAAAATTATGTATGAATAAAATCTGAAAGTACATGCGTAAAACCGTCAAATTATAAGCTGTATTCTATGTAAACAAATTTGTTATCAGCATTTATTGTGCATTTAATTGTTGCTAATTAAATTTTTTCTTACATATTTTCTCTCTTATCTTTGGATTATACAAACGCGTACAATTTTAAGCAAAAAACAAGTTGCAAGCGTAAGTATATATTTTTATCGTAACTTACTGCTGTCTTATTACACACATGTGAAATATGTACATAAAGGCACATGTCCATTAGCAAAAGTACAGACAGTTAATTTGTGTATAAATTATCTTTCATACGAATTTTTATTTTATATATTTTCTCTGCGTAATGACTTTGGCACAATATTGTAACATGCGCAATCCCCCCCTCCCGCCTTCCCCACATACATACACAAATAAAGAATACGTGTAAAAAAATAATCAAGGATGGGCACGAGTAAATAAAAAAAAAGATTGTTAAAGCCGACGAACGTAAAAGCGCAAAGTACAAGGATGGTGTGAGNATTTTTATCGTTTCATAGAATAATAGCTGAAATTGAGTAGTACTGTATAAATTTTGCGACTAAACTGGTCACTTTAATTAACATTTATTCATTTTTATAACGTCACTCTTTTTTGTTTATTTATTTTACATAAACAATTGGATGCTCACTTTTTTCTCTTTATATATATTGTTGTATGATGTCATGATGTGTGTCTACGAGAAAATCTGTGAGTTTCAAATGCATAATGTTACTAACTAATAAATGGTAATACACAAGACAATAACTTTGTTATTACGAGACTTGTGTCTTTTCGTTTTAATCGATACATCTCATTTATGCACTTTTCATTATCCTTTTTTCGTAAAATAAAGAAGTAAAATCTTCACAATAATTAAAGGTAAGTTTTTTTACTGGCAAACCATCAGTGCTTAGTTCAATAGAAATGTGTGCTTACATATATGTATAAATCCATACATTTAGTTACAGTCCAGGTATGATTTAGATTTTTCGTTAACAACACTCGGTCTTTTTTAGCATTTTTTCAACGTCCTTTTTTTAAATTATTTAACCACGATTGTTTAGAACTCATGGTTATTTGAATTAAAACGTTTGCCTTTACGATATTTATTCCATACGAAAGGCATGTCTATTCTTTAAAGTGCTTTTGTGAACTGTAAAACCTTCGTTAACGTGCGCTCGACTCGAAGAATAAATTTCCGCGCCAAAAGTGCGAGAATCAGCGCCATCTACCCACTGGAATTCACAGTGGGACAGTGGGAATGAGAATTGAGAAGCCTATCTCTTGTTCTTCTCTATGGCTGTGTGATCGTAGCTGTGTGTGTATGTGAGATGTGTCAGACAGTCAGTCAAACATATGCACTTATTAGTAGTATGGCGCCGCAGGCAGAATTGTCCTGACAATAATTAAATAGTTGCGAATTTAGAGGAAAATTATCAATATTTAGTGCAAAAAAAAAAATCACGACGTGACTATTAAGTGGCTCTTTTTTTTATAATATTCTACAGCTGTTTTATATCGTGATGGTGTGTGTATACATAATATTGTAAATTACACAGCTTATCGAAGGTTGTTTTTACATCGACACTTTTTTGATAGAAAGTGAGCTTGCCGAAAATCTGCTAAGAAAAGTTCACATAAGTATTGATTTGTGGAAGATCTTGACTACACCAGTGTTTTAGTTGAAAAAAAATCGAAGCTTAACAGGTGATTTAAAGTGTTATAAGTATATGGTATAAATACGTACGCACCACGTTCGTGTGGGCGACGGCGATCGGCGAAGCAACAGCGCGTATACAGATTGTAATTAAATCACATCAGCAAATTTTTTTTCTTTCATTATGTCTATAGCTACTACCTAGAGTACCTATAGTCTTCTTTTCAATTGTTGCTTGACGTAAACTCAAATAATTTTTGTTTGGTATATGACCACGTCAGTTATTTTTATATTAAAAAAAAAGCTTAAGTAACAGAAAGTTTTTCTAGGCTGAAATATTCATAAAAAAATATGTTTTTACGCTCATTTATTACTTTTGACGTATTAAACGCTACATATAGTGAAAGCAATATCTACTTGGCTAATTAAAATCAGTGGCACGTTAATATTTTTGAATCAAGATCCTTGAACTGATAATAAGCCAGATGCTAGTTGATTTTGTACTTATACAATGAATTGCATTTTTACATTATCAATTGTTTCTCGCTAGAAGTCGTCTGTAGTTGCGGTTCAAGTGTATATTGATTCAAATCGATATAAAGTATGACATTTTGTGATCCTGTTTCGTATTAAATCATTATATTTACAGACAAAATGGTGAAACTCTTTGCATTATCAGTCATGTACAAAAATCCAACGTCGGCGACTGTATTGAAGTCTGCATACGACGTCGACTCGTTCTCTTATTTCCAAAGAAGCAGCATCAGGGAGTTTATGTCATTTGTTAGTAAAACAATAACGGAAAGAACGCAAGTCGCATCGAGGCAGAGCGTTAAGGAAGGAGGTAAGGATTATTGAGAATCAATTTAAATTAATTTTTTTATATCTTACATCCTTTGATGATATGAACTATTTTTCAACGGTAAACTGGTGCAATAATTTTCCAGAATCATTATTAATTTGTGTTTTTAATTCGAATTATCTTAAAGAGAATGTATTGATTTTGCACTCTTATACCCCATTGCATGAGAGAACTCATCATTTAAAAATCATCGACCCAAATGTAACAAAGTATCCTACATTAATGGAACTGTTTCAATATTACACCTTGATATTTTTCCAATAGATTACATGTGTCATGTTTACGTACGAGGGGACAGCTTAGCTGGAGTCCTTATATCGGATCACGAGTATCCTCACCGTGTCTCGCATACTCTGATCACTAAAGTACTTGATGAATTTGCAGCAAAGTACCCTCCACATACGTGGCTCACTCTAAAAGAGCCAACTGTTGATTTTCAGCAAGTTCATATATATTTGTCTAAGTACCAGAATCCCAAAGAAGCTGATTCTCTCACCAAGATGCAGGACGACTTGGATGAGACAAAAATTATTCTAGTAATACATTATTATTATTTTGAAAACAAATTTACTGCATTTTTTTCTCTTCAGAAATATTCATAATTTATCCTTTTGATTTCAGCATAATACATTAGAAGCTGTTTTGCAAAGAGGTGAAAAGTTAGATGACCTTGTGCAAAAGTCAGAGGGTCTTAGCATTCAATCTAAAGCTTTTTACAAAACAGCAAGAAAAACTAATTCTTGCTGTAGCCTGACTGGTTAAATTGAAATATCTATCTACGATCCGTATTTGTTGATTCACAAAAACATTCTGCTTTGACTGAGTAACCAGATCCATTTACATTCACCAAAGCATGGTGATACAAGAAGTTTGTTTACATCTTCTTGATACTTGTTTTTTAAACCAGTGTATAGGATATACTTGATGTGCATATATTCTAATTCCTTTGAGAATTCGTTATTGTTGCTCTTGCATGTATTTCTGGTGCCTAGTGTTACTAAAAATTTCACTGCCAGTTAATGACAGCAACAAAATTATGAGAGTTCTTATTGGAAAATAAGATGACTCATGTAGCTTAAGTAATTAAATATAAAATTATATGTGCAAGGGAAGTAGTTAAATTTTCTAGATTGCTCCAGAAAAGTACGAATCACTATAAGTATTTTTATCGTTTCATAGAATAATAGCTGAAATTGAGTAGTACTGTATAAATTTTGCGACTAAACTGGTCACTTTAATTAACATTTATTCATTTTTATAACGTCACTCTTTTTTGTTTATTTATTTTACATAAACAATTGGATGCTCACTTTTTTCTCTTCTGGATTTATGATGTTCTTAAAATGAATTGCTAAAGCCACTTTTTTATTTTGGAATAAATGCAAGTAATGCAAGTAATGCAAAAGAGACAATTTTTATGTATTTATTCAAATTTTTTCACATTTTATAGTTGTTGGAAAGTGTATCAGATATTTTAAAAATTCAATAACTTCAATTTTTTTTATTCTCACTGGAAAGTGTCAAAAGTTGAAAAGCTATGAGGAGTCAGAGGTTATCTGCATGTTAGAAAATATAGTATTAAAGTGAACATTTAATAATCCATATTTAAGTATCTTCGAATACAATAAAAATAACGGAATGTTAATAAAACAATATATGCAAACAGTTATGTTTTTAAAATCGTTGTAACATGTTGATGATTGCGTACATAAAGTATGTGTACCTTTTTAAAGTGTCTCAAACTAGTAATAGGTACATATGAATGTATAAATGTCATTTGAAGAATATTAGGATTTTGTTGAAGATCGCGGAAATCAGTTTCCTATTAATTTATAAATGATTCATATAAAATTGTACGTATTATTTAGTTTTATTTACCCAATTAATTCATCAATGTTCTGTTTTTAGTACAAGTGTAATTTATATTCATCGTATGTGAAAAGTCTTTGAGTCAGTCAAACATATGCACTTATTAGTAGTATGGCGCCGCAGGCAGAATTGTCCTGACAATAATTAAATAGTTGCGAATTTAGAGGAAAATTATCAATATTTAGTGCAAANAGAAACAAAAATATTTATATGATTTTTAACTATTATACAAAGAAATTTATATCAACTTATCATGGGTTTTTTATTTTCTTTAAAATTTGAGTAAAAAAGACTAATTTTTGATGACGTAGAATATTTAACATCGAAATTAATTGATATAAATTAGTCCCATTTTAATTAAGAAAAGTGTTCAAAACCACGAAAAATATTGTTTTTTACATTTACGAGAATTAATAGTTAACATTTTAATTTTTTTTTTTCATTCAAAATATTGTATTGTTAGTGTTTTAAAATTAATTTGCTATCTACTATTAAAATTTTTAGGTATAGCTATCAAAGGATAAAGTAGTACAAATAACATACAATTTAAACAAACAATAATTATGTATTAATGCATGTAATTACAGAGTTTGGTTTATTTTAATGTGCTTAGCACTATTTTACTGTCGGTGTACATTTATTATTAAATTTTTAAAGAATTGTTTTCTAACGATAACTGTTCTCCAGATTTCTCTTAACTGATTGCATGTGAGTGTCTTTTATTTCCTTCTTCTCTCTTTTTTCGCTCATAGTACTTTTCCATCAAAGGTGTTACATAATCTTTTCCAAAGTTTTGCATGCCTGTTTTGAATAATAAATTTTTTTCACCTTTTAGTATGTTATACCCTGGAGAATATTTAGAGTCTGCAACCTGTAACAAATGGGTATTTACTGAAGAGCAAGTGGACATTTAATTAATCATCATAATTCCTAAGTAATATACTAAATTATTGTAATAAGAATTTTTTCGTGAATATATTCATCTCTGTGATTTTTCCTTTACCAAAATTAATTGAAAGTATTAGAAAAGTTGCAGCTTACCTCTCGCCAAGCTTCTGTCCAGGCTTTGGTATCTTCACCAGTGATACCCAATTCAGGCACATCGAATCTCATAATATCCATGTTCCTGAGAATTATGTGATCATTGCTAGAAAATATTCTGCAATAATATCTCCAGACACCTCTTTCAAGACGCCAATCAGCCAACTTTGTTTCATGATTTGAATATCTTTCAAAATCCAGATCCTCAATGTCTTCCATCACAAGTTCAAAATCTCCTTCTTCTGTCCAATCATAGCAAAGTAACAGAGAGTAGTCATCCAGAAAAGGCAAATATTCTCTCTTGTAGGCATTATCAATCTCGGTCAAATACTGTTCTGAGAAGGCTTTTGCATTTTTTTCAAATGGTTGTCCATTTTTATTAATGTTTTCCTGAAAAGTAAAAAAGTGGTAAATAATTATTTGGAAAAAAGCAGAATTTCATGTTATTTGAAAAATAAATTTTTAACCCATAAGCTTACCATGGTCTTTTCAATTGGAACATCCAAATAAATAATTAGATGAGGTTTTAAATAGTTGGGCAATGAAACGCTACAAATATCCTTATGTGCATTTAAAACTCTTTTAGGGATATATTTGCTTTTGTACATAGCCTTGGCAAAGACAGCATCGGACCAGGGAGTTCTCACAGTAACAACACCTTGGCCAGTGCAGAAAATATGCTTCAAAATTTTAATGTATGTCACCTGTCTTAAAAAATACATATAAACCTGCATCATGCCAGAGTGTATGTCATAAGGCTCTTGGCAGAATCGTTCAATGTCCCATGTCTGAGCACCCTTTGGCAGTTTAGCATCAAGTGTTCTGGCATCAAAACCCCAATGAGTAATGTATAAATCGTCAAATGTTGGTTGTGGCAGATATAAAAAATCTAATTCTTCAGCCAGTTTTTTGGCAAATTTTTCCTTTCCACAAGCCACGGGGCCGTCTATGGCAATCAACTTTGTATGTTTCTGGACTCTGCATCCGTTCCACACGTCAAGTAAAAGATGATCCCTCCAGGTATAATTTCTCAGATGATAAGGAAAAGGCTTGATGTTGCGAGTTTCACTTTCATCTCTGTACTTGATCCTGGTTAATCCTGCCACTTGAATTTTATTGATTCCCCTTTGTGGAAGAATCTAAAAAAATTCAAATACATATTAAACATGTTACCATCAAATAAAAACTTTGACCCTCAATCAATAATTCGTGTCCAAGCACTGACAACAGCATAAACACTAGGTATCTCAAAATATATATTTCAAAAACTCAATGTCGTTTGATAATAAGATATTTTTTTTTTGTACCAATATCGATAAAAATCATAACAAAAAAAAAGTGCCAAGTGCTCTAGCAGAATACTGTGAGACAGCGAAGAATCAAAACACAAAAACGTCATAAATATTATTTATCACTAAAAGCACTGACATGACGCGCGAAAGAAAAAATAACCATACTAACAACAGATTTTAGTAAATAAGTACATCTGTCAATCTCCAGAGTCTCATGTATACGTCACCCAGAAGAGGTTGACAATTTTCGCGCTAACCTTACATAACTCCTTGGCGGTTGTTCCAACAGAAGGTAGTAACTTGCCGGCGAGGCCGCTTTTCAGAGCGACGTACATTTTTGCAGCTCTCCTTGGAGCTCACCTTTCCTCCAGGAGAGGCTCTCCAAAGGTCGCTCTCGCCCCTTCGTCTCGGAGGCAACACAACTGATGAGACTCGACAGTCGCGGGTCCTAAGAAGACTTTGTACACATATATATGTTATCTGTGAATTTGTGAAAGCTAAATAATATAGGATAGGTGAAGCTAGGTATAGAAACAGCAGACGATATTTGTGTTGTATTTGTATTATATATAGTTTTACTGCTCCAAAACTCCACTGCTCCGTTGCTCCGAGCTCCGACGACTCCGATTGCTCCAAAATTTTATAAAACAGATGTCGCTGTAAAACATGAATCTCTGTTTGGTGCTTGCTTGTGTGTCATTTCTGATGGTCTCGGTATGACGGTATGACTTATCGTCGATAACAACAATCGTATTTGTTATACTTGCAGTGATTCAGTTTTCGTTGTTGCTGATAACTTTGAACCAGAAAAGATGGATCTCGAAAAAATGTCAAATGAGAAGAAGCTGTACCTCTGCAAGTGCTATTTTTACGGTGAGTCATGAACGTAAGTTTATGTCAAACAAGATGGTTAGGATGCTAGAAGTGTCGAAATATACTTTTGCAGAGCAAGTAAGTCCTTTGTAAATTAACAAAAGCTGTTTTTGTTGTTTTCTGATTGTCAGGTGGATTTGCTCTTTTGCCTTTTCTGTGGGCAGTCAACGCCATTTGGTTTGCCAAGCAAGCTTTCTCTGTGCCAGAATTCGAAGAACAAAAACAAATTAAAAAATGTAAGTCAGTTTTCTTTCTCTTTACGGTATCTTCCAACTGTAAATCTGAGGACTAGAGTTTAATTTATGTGGAAAAAATTTTTTACTTTTCGAATGAACATGTGACCCGAGAAATAGTTTTCTGTTTTTCTCCAAGTGTTGGTTAAAAAAAAGGACGATTCTTTTTATTACAGATGTGATATCATCGGGAATCGGAGCTTTGCTGTCGTTTGCAGCATACTTTGCATGGATCATAATATTTCAAACACACAGAGTAGCCTGGGGTGAATATGCAGACTCCATTACCTACATCTTCCCCCATGGCTATGCATAATTTTTGTACAAACTATCAAACACAACTATAATTAAGACTGTAAAGTGCGAAATGAAGAGGAGAAAAAAATAATACACTTAACAAAAAGTATATTTATATTCGTATGTATCATTTGTCCATCTAATTTTTTTTTTTTTTTTTACACAAAGATCAATGTTTTATACTATTTTTTTTTTTTTGTTGCAATATATTTATAATGGACGACGACAATACTTCATTTGATATCCTCTTATTTGTGTTTTCTTAGTCAAATAACGTAGAATTATACAAAAATACATGTATTTAAAAATCTTACAAAGTCCAACGAGTTTGTCGATTCATACGCAGTCTTTTTCCTTGGAAATGAATCTTTGTGCTATTAAAAAGCTCGCCGCATGCGCGCGTACTGCTTCAGCTCCTTGTATACTAGCTTTGACAATAGCTGCATTAAAAAAATAACGAATACATGCATGATTCTATTATGTTCAAATTCAGAATTGATTGAAAAAACAAAAAGATCCCAAGCATACTCACCACCAGTGCCATAACTTCAGAGATTATCAGCATGTAATAGACGTTATGCCAGGCTGTCTTGGGATCACCTTGGCTCGAAACAAAGCCAGCGAGCAGAGGACCCACAGCAGCACCGATGCTACCCGTACCGTCAATAATGGCCGTGACTGTAGCCAGAGCTTTGCTGTCGTCCCCGAGACTCGGATGCGTACCCAGTTCAGCCGACACGGCAGTCGTGATCAAAGCGTAGGGGCCGTTGACCAGCAAACCGGTCAACAACAACAGGAACACGTTCACGTACAAATTAATACTGCCTATGTAATCGTAGATGAACAACTGAGGAGAAACAACAGTCAATTTTGTTAATTTTTAACATTTAACATAAAAGCATTTCAATTTTTAATTGCATTTTGAAGTCTCATTATTCGACTCTTTCAAATGGATTTTGCATCGAAAAAAAAAAAAAAAAAAAAAAAAAACTTTCGATAGCTTGAAAGTGATAAATTTCTCCCAAATGAGAATTCATTAAAATACCCCATTATCTTTCATATACTGACCGTTGGACAAGCTAGGCCAAGCATAACAGCGCAAGTCAACGCACTCATCCCTGAATAATCGGACAAGTAACCGGCGACTATTGCTCCAATGATCCCACCGACGTCGAAGAGCGTTGACACGTCCGCGCTTATCTTTGAGCTGTACTTTGCTGCGAATCGAAAAAACCTTTTTTTTTTTTTTGTTCAACTATTACAAGAAATACATCACAATTGCCATATGTATATACTTACAAGAGCTTGCAATGTACAGTGGCAGCCAGAACAGGAATGTGTAGCTCACTAGTTTTGCGAAAAATAAGGATAGGGAATATTCAATGACACCAGGTATACCGATGGCCCCCCAAAATCCTATGGCTCTTTCGCTGGAACCGCTGGAGCTTTGATTGACCGACAGAATGGGTGTTGTTTCGGTTCTTTCGACATCCTTTTTCATTCAAAAGCAAATAATGACATGAGGAAAGGGAAACACAGATTAACCGTCTCTATTAAATGACAAAGACACATGTGCAGTAAAGTACTATTTCGAGATAAACATGCAATTAATATTCGATACTTGTTTTATTGCAAATTGATCAAAGCTATATACTTTCATTTAAATTTGATCAGTGCATCGACAAAACAATAAAAAAAAAAAAGATGTTCAATGACACATAGGCAAAATATTCTAAGATATATGGGTTACAATAGAAATCGCAAAAAAAGCGAAACAAAACAAAAAGTCAAATAAAAATCATGCACTTACAAAAACAGCGTCCTGGTGACGCCCAATATTGCGATACGTGATTTTCTAGGAAATGAAGGGGATTTAAAAAAAAAAGTAACAATATGATACATACGTAATTATATGTAAGCATGCAGAACGCAAATCGCTAGGTGTAATTTGCTTTCGAGGCATTATTAACAGCATTTTTTGTATTTAACATCTAGCTTAAAAATCAAGGTATTATTTACAAATGCAGTGTAAGGATATCGTTACAGACAACATTTTCCATTGCTCCCTTGTGGGATTTTGTGAAAAAAAATATGTCAAACTAGATCGGTAATTTGCGATGCAAACGATAAAATCATAAATCCAAAAAGAAAGCTTCGAGCTGGTGCATGTAGTTTTCGTGATCAAGATCTTGCATCAGCTATACATGGATATAGTGACAACTTTATTTAATACGCATTTCAGCATTTTGTCCATACGATGCTAGCACAAGCTAAACCTTGGATATATGTCACCATCCTGATGTCAGCTTAGGAGCAATAATTATTATCCTACATTTAATTTTCTTTCATTGCATGTGAAAAGTGTTCCTTATATTTTTTCTTCATTATACTTTTTGCACAGAGAGTGACTCGGAGGTGTTCAAATGATTTTTAAAAGAAATAGATTCATAGACGTTTTTTTAAAATAACTATCAAACTGAAAGGTTTTCTTGATACATTAACTACAAAAGAATCGTCTACTCAGACTTGAAGCTGACAATGGATCTGCTTCAACTTAGCAACGAGCCTTGAATGTATTCCAATGACGACAGAGACTATCATTGTCTCAAACTTGAGTGCTGAATCAGCGGCTAGTATAAAAGGTTTATTCGTTCATTGTCGGAAAGCTACATCAGTGCCAGCTCGGAACCTTATCTCAATTTATCTTTTCATATTTTCATAATACGCACATAGACACACAAAATGATTCATATATTATATATTTCTTTTTTTTTCGAATAATCGAAAGAAAATTTAATGTTGACTTTACGCCAAATCTTAGCGATCGAACTTATACTTTTGACATAAAATTTTCACCTGTACCTGTTTCGAGCTTACGAGTGTATGTGTGTGTTTGACAAAAAAGTCTGTGAAAAAAGCTCACCTGATCTTCGCGATGGCCAGATCCTATGTCCTCGTAGCAACTGCTGTCTTCCGAACTGTGGGTCGCATCCAGTCTCCTGTAGCCACAAGCAACCGGCGGCACCAATCCGACATCGCTCGGATGCGCGACCAAAAACAACCATATCACAAGTCCAAAGAGCCCCATGATGGCCCCGGGCACTATGAAACTCAAGCCCCAATCGGTCTCTACGTACTCGGCTGCGATAAGGGTACCCAATATGTTGCCCAACGACGTGTGCGAGTTCCAGATGCCGAATATCAAACCGCGTTTGCTCTTGCCGAACCAGTTACCAACAACAGTGACCACACCTGGCCACCCCGAAGTTTGAAATATCCCACTGACAGTCTAAAATTTATCAGTTTGAATTATATTTATTGTTTTTTTTTTTTTATTTTTTCCCCCTAACACGTTGACAATGATTACCTGCACAACCGTAAAGTACCATAAATTATGGATGTCGTATGTCTTGGCCATGCCGAAGAGGTAAGTGAAAATACCGGTGCCGATCATACCGAAGGCCAAGAAATACCGTAGGTTAACTCTTTCGGCCACGAAACCGCTGGAGAAACATATTTTCATAAGTAAATCGTGTGAGTGTTTTTTGTCATTGTTAAAGTACATGGGCAATATGACCAAGTACCTGATGAACATAGCGGCTGCATAGCTGAACAAAAACGCAGAGTCTAACAAACCCAGCAAAGCAGGAGCGTCGGATCTATCTGAATATTAATTAATAATAGTTCGTCATTGTCACCTTGGATAAATATAATGGTTTTTTAAGAAATGAAAAGCATCCAAGTATCAAGGATTGAAATAATAAATATATGCTTAATGGCTAACTGTGCAAAAGTACAAATATACGCGAGAGTCAACCGAAAGGGTATATATCAAAGGCAAAGTGAATACTAGACGAAATCGGATATCTTGTGTAAAATAGCTGACGATTGTGGATTCGAGGTCGGGTGACACGAGAGAAAGTAAAAATTATACATACAAAAAAAATCTGACAATTGAAGAACAAAATGGTCTAGAAGTACAAGGATGACTGTATAAAATAAAATATAAAAAAAAGTATAAAATGCGAGTGAAAAAAGTGTAGTATACACTGATATAGATGATATTATAAAGTATACGATGGAACAGTTAGTTAAAATTCACGAAGTAATCAGATAAATTTTCGTATACCTAACAAATGAAAAAAAAATCTGTTACACCAATATTGAAAAAAAGAAGAAAAATTGCTAACTAAACTATAGAAAAGAATTTATGTAGAAGTGCAATGGGTCTATTACCGATTAAATATTCACCGTTAGACAAATAATATAAAGGAACAAAAAACATATAACAATCGTTTTTTAATTTTAATGGCATTGAATTCGATGGATCAAAGAAAATTTCTGATTTTTTGCGTGTCTCTATAGGTATCTCAAAAAGTTAGTAACTTAAAGTAAAGAAAGGATCATTGGGACCACTCAGATGTAATAGGCTACGCGAATGTTTAATCAATATATTGTAGTCGATTGCAAAGAAATCGTTATCGTTGATATTGAAAACTTTGAGACATTTTTTGGTTCATCACAAGCAACTGCAGACAGAAAACGTATTGAATTGTTAACAGTTGCAACAATAGGTCATTCCGAAGCTTTAGATTTTCAAACCATAAGGTTAATAGATATATTTTACGAAATTCCAGTATTACTTTGTTTTTAGATACTTAAAAGAAATAAATAAAAAATTGATTTTCTCACCAAAAGGTGCCCAGTCGCACCAGGTGCTATCATTGACAATGCCAGGAGGTGGAGTGATGCCACTGCAATTTTGACTCAAAACATTTTTGACAACAGATATTGGCTTTCTGGTCATGTGGTAGCACGTATATGCCAAGTAAGTTGTCGCGAGCACCCCGGCGCGATGCCATGTCAATCGATCGATTCTTCTGGTCCTAATACAATACTTTGAGCTAATCCACTCGACAAACGTCACACCCCATGGTGCATCTCTTATGTTATTATTATTCATTGTCACTCGATTTTTATAAAAATATCTATTTTATAGCTTTCTCTTTTTGTCATTCATCAACTATTGTCATTACGCATCTTCATGTCTTGCACAGCTCCTATATTGGACAACACAATAAATAGTCATCTTATTGAACTAATGTTTTTTTTTTCATCTCAAATGATATTAATTGAAAGGAAAATATTGACTGGTGTTAATGAAGGACAATCATTGTTCAATACCCTGTGTTCAATTAGCCGATAAGAAGGTGACGACAAGCACGATAACACGATTAATTAATTGTAATTTGTTTCGGACAGAGCCCCATCAGGTCAGATACTGTTTACGTGGCATAAAAAATTTATTTAAACGCGTATAATATATATATGAAATACATAGTACAATAATATAAGATACGGCTTTTATAATCTGCCCGGTACAGATGTTGCAATTATGATTTTAATTCTTAATAATAATAATAATAATAAAATAACATGGGAGTTTATCTGTGGTGCGCGTCAACAAGGCTAACTAATAAAGTAGATATTGATGTTGAAGGAATACCTTGCACATGTGCAAGGGTGGCGGAGTGGTGGTAACGTGATGAGAGTTCCCACACTATTATTTTCTTAAGAGGAGTGAATTCATTACTAAAAATATCTTTGATTCAAAGAATTGCAATTACTAAATGAATAAAACCCGCAACTAAATAATCTAAATGTCTAATACTTCATACAATCGACATGATGAATATAAAATGTATTATACGTTTTAATAATAAAATGAAAATTTTCATCCATAAGTAAAAATTAAATAGAAGTTAACAATAAGTTGATGATAATTTTATTTTAAAAGTAATAAAACATATCTATTGTTCATTAATATATTCGAAGGGAAAGGAGCGTTTTTATTTGTAAATAAGTGTGTAATACATTACAATGAATATATGTAAGCTATTTAAATATTATAATATTATTGAGTACTCGAATGTAATTTCAAAAACCTATAGGACCAAAATAATTTTATGACACGCCAAATTCGTAATTCTTAATAAGAATACAACTTACTTATTAAATTAATTGCGAGCTCAATGACTGTTTGATGAGCTTTTGATTTATTTGCAACAATTTTTGGTTCAAATATTTTTGGGAGCAATTAAAAGAAAAAGGGAACATATACATCGAGCTTTGGGTATTTATTTACGATGAAATATCTTTTATAAATGTCGAAAACAGGATATGTACAGCGGGTAATCCATCAACATTATTTCCAGCTTCCCCATCCAGACAAACACGTATGCGGGACATACAATGGTCTGGACTGACTTGGATATCGTTATACTCACCACCAACTCGTGTAAAACGAATTAACTTCAAAGGGAGAAATAAACAAAATTTATGCTAGGTATTAAAATATCATAATTTTTATTATTAAAACTTTATGGTATGATTATTTTCTTTTTTCTACGGGTCGATTTTAACAGGGAAAACATCCAACTTGTAAAATTACGATTAGTGAATGAAAGTACGTACAGCGAGAGTATATATATACACTTACAAACTTGACATACGCTCACACGTTGGAGAACAAAGAAAAGCGTTGTTTATGATGCTGCTAATTGGTCTCGTGCACATGTAACGTGCGACGTGTCAATTTGATGTTGCACAGAGAGCATGTGTGTTGCCTTTGATATGCAAACAATTTATACCTTCGACCAGCTGGAGAGAAAGATTATATTATACTGGCAGTTGAGATTCAATGATTTTTTTGTATGTACATGCTACGAGAAAGTGGTGAGTCATAACCTGAAAGGATGTATACAAAAAGAACATCAGACAGTAGACAGATACTTGGGGTGTACAGCAGACTTAGAAAAAAAAAAAAAAAAATCTTTACGCACAAAACTACGTATAAAGTAAATTCTCATTTTTTAGAAAGTACACCTTCTACTGGTATGAGATGTTTTAACCTACCTTATTCTCTTGAGCTGTTTGGTCGTTGTCGTGTCATTCTTTCCTAGGACTTTACTTTTTTTTCTTTTTTTATTTCGACAATTTTCTACAACACTTTAATAGCTTAAAATAAAAAAAATCACAGCCAGCAGATCCTTTCTCTTGTCACAGTATCACATTCGCGTTTTGTGCATGTACGTATTATTTGACACTTTGTTGCTAGTAACTTAAGAACCACTGATGTAGACTATTAGACCTTGGAATTTTTTATAAACAAGAATTATACACGTGAAGTAACATACAATTATAAATTTAGAACGAGATTAAGAATATTTGGCCATGAATGTGTAGGTATTATGTACATCTACTCTCCTGTCGACACTGTAAAACACACTGTATTGTGAATATGGGCTGTACATATGTCATCCACCAAGGCACTTTTATCTACATATATTATGCGTTTGGATGATTTGTCAACAAACAATCAATGACGCTTTGGAACCTATGATTTTGTAAAGATTTACCGTCACTGGACACGTCACATTTTTAAACGTTCCATACGTTGCCTTGTAGTGGGAGGAGAAAAGAGAGATCAGAGAGAGAGACGCGCGCTCGTGCGCAGCCTCAACTGATAAGCCAATCGAAGGATTCGATGAAGTGGATTCCAGCTAATGAGCGCCTTGGAAATCAAATGCCATAAGAATGGCCACGATTGCTCGTTCCATTTTAGGCTGCGCAAGAGAAAAAGATTTGTTTGGCTTATCTGGGGATTCCGGAGCGCTCCGAGAGTTGAAATGTATACATCTAGTAGTTGGACTAGAGCCGTAGATAAGGTGTACGGTTTAACAGTTTGAGAATATAAGTAACTCGCAGCACTCCGAGCTGCTAGGCCGAACAAATCTATTGTTTTTTTTTTTCTTTTCTTAATTGCGAACCGCAAAATTTGAAACTTGAAGAGAGCATTTGTGATTCTTTTTCAGGGTTCAATGACATTTGATATTTCGTTTAAATCATAAACAAAAAAAATTAGTTATATGAATCAATAAAACAATTAACTTTAATTATATATTATCAAACTATTGTTAGATTTAATTGTACTATTTAGAACAACGATTATTACTCGTAATTAATAATTAAAAAGGCTAACGTATTTAGTTAACTGTTAATACTCCAACTGTGTTATACAAAGCCAGCAAAACAAATCGTGGCGAGTTTTTAAAATTTACTACAGTTCAGCTGAGTTGACGTGACATGTCGCATCTGTAAGGACACCAAAGTTAACGTAATATGGCAACAATAACATGTAAATAATGTTTATACTTCATGTAAAGTACAGATTAATTTAATTTATATGATAAACATTAATTAAGGCAGATAGAATTTCACCCAAATATACAGTTATTAAAAACACGACAAACGCATCAGTGGGATTTAAAATTTCAATAGTAGAGCTTTTTTTAACTTCATTCGTATTGATTTTTATTTTTTTTTTTTTACTGCAGCTTACAGAATTATTAATTGTTTTTTTTTTTCGCCATAATTTCCCTTTTCCATATCTTCTTTACATCGTGACTTTTATCATTCACCCAAAAGAATTGTGCTTTGTCACCCCCGAGAAGCCTGAATTTCAGAGCAGCCCAACAGTTTAGCTGACAAAGCTTCCGGTAGATTTTAATAACGTATAAAATTGTTATTGATATAATTGTGTCAGTGGACTATTTGAATACATTTTTTACCGCANTTTTTTTTTTTTTTTTTTCATTTAAAGTACAATGGTGTGCATTATACATGTATACGTGTAGTTTCATGAAACAAAGCTTCTTCAAACTATTTTTTTGGTTGTTTTTAAACATGATTTTTACCGCAGCAAGAAAAAATCCTTCTGATTAATCGTAAATTCCAACAATAGCAAATAGAAGCTTGATATATATATATATATATATTTTTTTAATCACAATGCAGTAAAAAGGTTATATAAAAAAGCAATTACAATTGAACGTGGAAATGGTTTTGGTGTGGCTTGATGCTAAATTTACTCTACAAGGTTTGTCGAGATGCGTGCCTTCTATACGCGTCCAAGATAACACTGTACGTGTACGTTTGACTCAAGTACATACTGCAGAATCACCACTTGTGGTCAAAATCCATCGCCGTATCTTAATGATGGCCTTTCAAGTGGGCACGTGTTCTCGCTAAAAGGGCCGATTACAGTCTTATCGATCGATCCTCACAGCCCAACGGATATATAGTTTCGAACGTAGTCCTTGGACAGTACAACCAATGACAAATGGTGTTTGTCTTGCTTATATCAATTACAGAACTAAGCAAAAATACGTGGTTGCAACCTAATAGCATTGTAATGTAATTTTTCTGAATCGTCTTCCCCAAGAACCATAGGAACCACAATGGAAAATATCTGTTTTCAAACTGAGAGTTTATCTATACAAATTACATATTTTTTTCTTGGTACATTTTAATAAAAAAAAGGTTTTTCAATCTGCATTCAGTAAAATATTACTGCACATTACATACGATGGTGTTAACTCATGAAAAACCTTGTCTGCTCATAATATACATCGTTGTCATGTTGGTTAATCGTAAGTGGATAACGTACGGATGAAATATCAAATTTATCCTTGCATAAAAGAAAAAGAAACCAATCTTTGTCAATTGTAAAAAAAAAAAAAAACTAAAAAAAAACGTAAGTTATTTTTCAAGCACTCCTTTTCAATCTTCTCGTATTAAGTACATTATAGTCAATGGTTTCCAAAGTCCCCGAACTTGTCTCCTTAAGATAAGATAGCAAAGGTGACGCAACGTACAGAACAAGACGTTTAAAGTTTCGACTTCCTGCATTATACGCGACAACAACGCTTTTGTTCTTCCGCGCTCGACAGAGGATTTCACTTAAGTGTCTTCTCTCTCTCTCTCTCTCTCTCTATCTCGTTTGCGGGAGAGCAAAAAACAACTCTTGTAAAACCCATAATGCAGTGATGGACAACGTATGCGCGTACAGTCCCGCGTTTCTCTTTAAAATAATTTACGACCCCAAAATCGCTTTACCGCGTGGAGATAAAATTAAAAAAAGAAAAAAAAATAGAATCTTCAAGCACGGGAAAATCGCAGAAGCCATTACGTAATGCACGCAAGTGCAGGAAAACTGTGCATCTTCATGCACCGTTCACGTGTATATACGCGCACGAGAAGCCTTTTAGCTTCAGACGTTGCGCATCTATCCATATAGGAGCTAATGGAATTGCAACACTGACTTTTTCCGTATTCTATATGAATAACGATTATGTTGCAACTAACAATCGTGTTATTATATGTATAGCCTCTTGTATTTCCATTGTCCATATATACCATCAACCCGTGTGATATATTATACATTCATATATAGGTATATATTATTGAAGGTTGTTCCAGTTTGTTCGCGCGTCAATGTTTCATCGGACTCAATTGGCATTCAGCCTCGATAGACTCTTAGCGTAGACCTCTGCAAAGTGAATAATCATCATACACATGTAGGTAAACATATGGATCAATTTGAACGCATAAACAATTGTTACACACACAAATAGGTATCCAGCCGACGGCGAAACGACTCGTGTACATGAGAAATGTATTATTATTCACAGTTTGGTCTACTTTAATTTATACATCACCTCGCTTTGTATTCAAGTTTTCTTTGCCATTTATGTAGGTATATTCTACATCTGTAAATATATATATATGG